TCTACAAGTTGACGCATCGGAGAATGCGCTAGTGTTAGCTGTGATGGTTTGATCTAAGTAACAAATTTGTTAAGAAATTATCTTAAATTTAATAAAAACGATATGAATTAAAAAGATACATACAGGAAATCCTAGCATCTCACTCAATTCTTCAGCTTTTCTAGATTCAGTTACGCCACCGCCATTAGTTAGTAGGACAAAAGGAATCTTTCTTTGAATGAAACGAAAAATATCAATTTATCAATATATTAATTTAGAAAATTAACATAAACATTAAACGCACTTCTTTAATTTATTTTTGCCATCCAAAAATTGAAGAGCGCTTTTGGTTTCAGGTACAACGGTTGTTCCCTTTTTCCACAAATTACATTAATTAATTAATTCATCCATTCATTAACCATCTTTAACATATGGATAAAAATTTATAGAGATTTGATACTTTTATGAGGACGCCATCAATATCTATACATATTCCATAATTATATGGTGATGATGAATAATACCGACTTCCTATAGCAGCATTGATGATAAAGTTGCTAAGTAATGATCGTGAAGTGCATGAATGATTGATAAAACGAAGCATTTTCTAAATATGATAATTTATCAACTAGATAACTTAATAAAAGATTAGCTGTAGTGGTAGTTAAACAAAAAAGAAATTAGCATTATCATATATCATGCAGTGTTTAACGTTATTAGTATGTTTATTCAGTTCTTTTCGCTAATCATTTCTATATTTGCTTTTTTTTAAATTAATGTTAAAATAGTCATTCTACTGTCACATGATTCTTGTCACGGTTTTCCAGAGATCGCATTTTAAAATAATATGCGCATGATAAAAAATCAATTTTTTTTTTTTAAATTTATATCTTTATTATTTGATTCGTACATAAATAAAGATAATTCATAATTAGATTTTGCCGAAAATACATAAATTTTTACTTAAAATTTGTCATTTATAAATGTAATAGTTAGTTTGGGTTTATATGATTTTCTTGATAATCACATTTCTAATACTTAACTATAAATCTAGCTAACTAAACTTTAAATCGGGTCAACTTTAGATACCAATTCAGTTTGCTAAAACTTATAAATTTTATTTATTTATTTATTTTTTAGTTTTTTAATTGTTATTTTTATTTTTATTTTTGTATTTTTTAATTTT